CAATATTACTGTACAAAAAATGTAAATGTTAATACAGTATTTTACCAGTAATATTTAAGTGCTTTTTCTGGACAGCACATAAACATGAATATATTAAGTAACTTCTACTCTTCTGGGCTAAAACTGAGGGTGCATGCACACAAAGGCTGCTGCTCCTCATTCCCTTGCTTCACTTTTCAAGGAGAGGACAAGACATGGTCGAAATAAAACATAAGTTGTCTGGTTTCTTTCTTGATCAAGTATATGTTACAAGATTTAATTGAGCAAATTAAGTAAAATGTACCTGATTTATTCACAAATCTTTAACTATATTCTTAATAACTTTTACTAGATAACGATGACGGTAAACATTACATGAATTTGTAGCATTTAAATGTACTTAACAAACGTTATTGCAAATATGTTAGAGGATTTTTTGAAGTACATCTTACAAGTTTTTTTTTCAGTGTGGTCTCAAAATGATGAGAAGTGGCAGACTTGCCTCAGACATGGTGCTGTCCTAGAAGATTTTAGTCTCATCTGACTCCAGTAGCTTCTTTTGCATGAAAGATGAAGGAGATACTGGTGAAGAAACTACAGACAATCTGCCTCATTTTTACCATTAGTTAAGTCGCTTTCCTGCTCATTTCTCAACAAAGCTACCATTTCTGCAAAAAAGCTGTCCAGTTCCATCAGGGTTGTCTTTGGTCTCTTGGTTACTTCTGAGTAATGCCCTGCTTGCCCAATTTATGGGTTCTGGTTGACAACATTCACTTTCTTGAAATTGGTGCCATGTTCTTTTCATTATCTAACTAGAAGCACTTGGAGAGTGCACAACTCCATCAAGACTCTGAGCAGTGTTTCCCCTGCCATTATCCAAGGAGGCCTACGACTCTCCCATGCCCTCGACGGTAATATCTGTGGTTTCAAATCGATTAAAATTTATATTTATGCTCATTAAAATTTGAACAAGTGCTTTTCCCCATTGAAATATATTAATCAAGTATTTTTGGTAAATTTATTACAAATCGAATTAAAAATTCAATTAAATTCCATGTTGTAAGGCAACAGAAAATAAAGATTATCAAGGGTCTTAAAAGCTTTGCAAGTAACTGTGCTGATTTACATAAATATTACTGAGTGATCATTTACCTTTTTGATCTTTTTAATATCCGGGTCCTCCTCCTCTTGGTTGTTCTGGTAAGGCAGCATTCTCTCTTTGGTTTTGTTCAACACTACAATCTTTAACAACAACAACGGTCTTGATGTAAATACTCAAGCACAGAGGATGAAAAAAATAATAATGAAACCATTTAGGATGTTCAGAAAAACAAACATCTAGAGCATGACTGAGACATAACGGGTCCTGGGACGGGATTCAGACAACTTAAGTCCATTTAGTTGGGCAGTTTCTTGACTGACACACATAAATTTGTTCTATCTTCTTGTGGACTTTTCATTGACTTCCAATTATTTACCGATCATTTCTATAACCTAACTCAGACCCCTTACTCTAAACCTAACCTCACAGGTACATACCTGACCCTAAACTTAACCTAAACTCAATTCACACCTTAGTCCTAAAATGAGTCCCCGACCCACCATTGACATTTCCCCCAAAAGGGACCGGGCTTTTGTCCCCATTATATGTCCCCCATTATACAGTATGTCCCCATTTATATCTTTTGCTATTGTGCTTCCACCACTGTGTATAGTGTATATTGTATATATGTGTATTGGAGAGACAACGTCTGCTGGAAGCAAATTCATTGTGTGTGTCAACATACTTGGCCAATAAAGCTGATTCTGATTCTGATTAGGAGCAGTGGGTCCTCACCAGGCTGTATGTACCAGGAAAATGGTCAAAAATCATCCCCTTCAGGTAGCAAAAATGTGTATATGTACACACACAGAGACATTTTCCCTAAAACTAACCATTACTAGTCTATTCCTAACCCTAACCTGAACCAAAACTTAATTCACTCCATACCTCTAAATCTAACTAGTAGAGCTGTAAATAAAGTAAGGATCAGGAAAATGTCCTCACTTCCCAAAAATGACCTCACTTGGTTAAAAACCTAACATGGTTCTCACTCTGTAGCAGAAACAAGTGTACACACATACACACACAAAAGTTTGCACAGCTATCCATTTGGGGACATTCCATTGACTTCCATTACATTTCTACAGCCTAACCCTGACTACAAACCCTAAGGCTAACCTCACAGGTACCTACCTGACCCTAAAACTAACCTAAACTCAATTCACACCTTGGTCCTAAACCCAACCCCCAACCCACCAATGGCATTTAAACCAAATGGGGACTCGACTTTTGTCCCCAAATATACCAGTTGTCCCCAAAGGTAGGCGTTTTGTCTTAAAATTACCCCCAAATATCACCAGAAACAACCCCACGCACGCACGCACGCACGCACGCACGCACGCACGCACG